CCTGAACGATGCGGGAGGCTTAGTTGTGTGAAAGTCTCCATCACTTTCTTGTAATTTAATTTCAACAAAATGTGGGACTTGTTAAAAAATTCCTTTAATATTTTACTTTTAATTTTGATTTTTATATTATCAAATATTTAATTACTTTTTTAATCATGTTTAATCTTTAAATGAACCTCTACGTTACTAACCCTTATTTTGGATTGGAGCGTGACTTGTTGTATATTTTCCACATTTGTTTGTATCTATTTACAAAGCCTACATTTATTCTCAATCACATAAGATAAGAAAATGCTTATCTCTCTTTTATCACGTATGTAGTGATATTTTGTCGTTTTTTATTACATGTTCCTACGTATTGAGTATAGTCATTCGAATCTATAATAAGTTGTCTCTGACTTTTCTTAGACATCATTTTAAATATTGTCGTTGTATATAATATTAGTGTATAATTGTTATTGATTATGTTTCATTACATCAATGATACTAGCATTTTTTATGTTTGCTGCTGGCTCTATTCACACTTCTATATTTTTTTTTTTGTATTTTAATTATATAATAGATTTTTTAAAAATACATTGTTCTTTTGAATTCTACTACATATCACTTTAAAATAATTTAATCTCAATTTAAGCTAACTTATATATTAATTTATCGCTCCACCGCCGTTGGCAGCCAACAGTTTCTATAATCTGTCAAAAACTATAAACAGTGAATATTATTGTAAATTGGATTCGGACAAATGAGAAAGAGTCAAAGCAAAAGCAAAATAAAAGTGAAAGGCTTGATAAGACGTGTTCTGAGTCTTCAAGGGACGCAGCAATTATATAATCCCTTGAAGCAATAATAAAGACAATGCAGTATTCAACGAGTAAGTTTTTGGGATTTTAGGTAGTCACGGCAGTTGGGGAATTTATTTTTAGAGATCCAAAATTGAGAAAATGACTTGTGGTTGGGCGGTTATTATGCATTGAAGACTATTAAAAGAATAATTATAGTAATACATATTTCACTTTTTTTTATAAAAAAAAAGGTGTATAACGTGATGCATATACGTGGCAAAATTACAGTCATAAGACAAAAATCTTGAATTTAATTATTATTATTTGTTGTTCTAGAAAATCTTGAACTTACTTGGCTGTACGGTATACAGTATTGTTATTTATATATATATATATATATAGCAGTATTGTTAAATTAGTACGTAATAAATTATCGTAATTGTATTCTCCCTATTATACATTTCCTTAAAAAGAAAATGTTAGTGATGAATAAAGGCTTGACTAATGTGCCATTTTTTGCTTTTGAATGCCATGGACAAATCTCATTAGTAATTATAGGTAGATTGTGCTGAATTATGCATTTTGACGGGACCTGTCTACTGCCCATTATTGATGTTTATCACATCCAAGTTTCGTTTAACTTTGAAATTCCTTCTCGTAACTTATAAAAAGTATTGTTTTCTTTTTTTTTTTTTTTTTGGTAATGCATTTTTTTTTTTTTTTAGAAAGAAAAAAACTCAAGTTTTGATCCGCCCAAACGCAAACTTAAAAAGATTCTCATCTCAAATCATAACTCAAATGTACACAATCAAACACAAACTCTAGTTACAGCTTCAACTCAAGTTATAACTCAAATTTAACTAAAGATCTATGCTCAAATCATCATAACTCAAAAATGCAACGAAATAAGCTCTGAGATGGTTGAGATTTAAACATTCGTTACATTGCACTTTGAGAAAAAAAAGTAAATAAATACCGATAATAATAATGTTTTTTTTTAAATGTAGTTAGATACTCAAACTCTATACCTGATTTATGAAAGATAAATGTGGGTATTTATCGTTGGATTATTTCTACAACCACAATAGAAACAATACTTGTGGGTGACAAATTATAAATATTGAGAACAAAAAGAAAAAAAAAATAGAATGGGTAAGGGAAAAAAAATCTCTTACGGCGAGACTAAAAACTAGTTCAAAGTAGGTGTGCCATTTTACATTTGGTTTGAAGCTGTTCAAGCAGCAAGTAGTTTTCTGCAAACCAAGCTAGTTAGTTTTTATTTTTCTGATTAAAGTTTAGATAATCAAGTTAGTTAAAAATAATATGGGTTTTGGTATTCTTGCTCCCCGATCTTTTCGTTCTTTGGTAACTTGCCTCCAAAATTTTTAATTTTGATAATTAACCTCTCTAATTAATTAAACACCATGCATTTTACTAATGGGTTGTTTAGAAGTTATACTCAAACTCAAATCATGATTTTGCGCTACAGTATTTTTTTATCTCACAAAGAGTTCGAATTTTCTAAATTTTCTCTCTCACAAAGTTTCCGCCAATGCACCCAAATTATAATTTGAGTATACCTTTTGAACAAACCCTAAGGGATACTAATATATTGTTTGATTTGATGTTTGAATTAAGTGATTTGAGTTGTGATTCAAACAGATGTTTGGATATGCAAATAGATTGTAATTTGGTTTGAGAATAAAATTCAAATTGTATTTGAATATATTAGTGTTGAAAACTGTCATTAAAATTTTTGTGGTAATTTTTAATTTATAAATGTCATATTTAAATATGCAATATGGATGAGGATTTGCGTAACCCTTTTCATTCAATGGCTACAAGGTGAAGATCCTAAAGGGGCTTCATTGTCCTCCGAGCCTGCAAGGTCGCCAAAGTCGTCTCCTTGCTTATGCTAATAATGCAACGCTAACCACTACCGCATATGCCTTGTTAAGGTCGTGAAGTCCACCGAGCCATCGCCTAATGCTGTTGTTCCATACGCATGATCAAGAAAGATGTGGCTTTTCTGAATTCCGCACACTATAATCTTAACTTTGACTTTGATCTAATTTCGTATTAAGGTTTGAAATGAGATTTTTAAGGGTTGTTCTTTTGCAACAAAATTCGAAAAAAATGTAAACTTAAGTTACAACTTTATTCAAGTTCACGTTCTTTTAAATTTCAACTTTATTCAACTTTACTTAAATTTATTCAAGCTACTACTTCAACTCAAATTATAACTCAAATTCAACTCAAAAACTGTACTTAAGTCACACTCTAAAAGAATAACCCCTTAGTCTGACGTGATTTCCCCCTGCTAATTTAATATGTGTTAGCAAAATGGATCAAATTGTAATAATTTAAGAAGTTAAAAGGAATTTTTTTTTTTTTTTTTTTTTACAATTACAATTTTAATGGACAAGTTATCGAAGGCCGAAAAGTTAATCAGGGGAGCTAAAAATAAAAACCTATAATAATACGCTGGAGCAATTAGAGAAAATTGACAATTGACATCTATTTACTCCTAATAACTAGAGGATCTCAATCTTCTGATTTTAGCAATCGTATATGCTAATCCCCATAATTATTAGGATAATATTGTTTTTCTTTATCGGTCAAACCATTGCACATCCCTCTCTTCATTGTTCATACATCCTAGTCAGTATTCAACCCCGGCAGGAGTCCAGTGGAATATTACCAAACAATCAAAATACATGCATTTTTTTTTTTTCATTTAGTTTGTTTCTTTTTTTTTGGATAAAATTTTATTTTATTTTTCCTTGTAAACAGGATTTAGTCACTTTTAACCACTTTGCCACAAATGACGCCCTCAAGCAAAAAGAATAAACAAGTAATTAAATTAATCACTTTTTATTTTCTTCACAAAAAAAAAAAAAAAAAAAGAAATCACTTTCAAAGGAATAATGTTTGTTGACAACCCAAATTCACCAAATGCAAATAAATAAGGATTGGTATGATTTTTTTTTTTTTTTTTTTTTTTGCTTGAAAAGATTGGTTGGTATAATTTTTTCATCTTCCCATTCAAAACCCATTACGACTGTGGTAATTGATTGTTGGTGAAGCTAGGGCAGTATATTTAAAAGTTAAAAAGAAAAGCTAAATCGAGTAATTATTGATTTATGACAGGAGGGAATTTATTTTGGCTATGGTGACTGACAACTGTATTAACAATCAAGTGATTTTTTTTTTTGGTAAACAATCAAGCGAATTTTGCTACCACCATAATAGCGAAACAAAAATTACATATATGGAAAAGGTCCTTCTAATTATTTGATTTATTTCGTAAAATGTTAAGTGTTTAATTTTTTTTTTTTTTTTTTATCTCATTGTGCTTTTGGCATAGAGCAAAGGGTGCAAATTTGTGTGTTTTGATTTATTATGTGTTTGGTGCAATGAAATGAAGGAGACGTTTGGTTCATGGATTATAATCACGTGATTAGAATTATTTTTGATTTACATGTATTTTTTATAAGAGAAAACACTGTAACGAATCATGAATCATGATTTAAATTATTGTTTGAATCCTCCAATCAAACATTCTCGAAATGACCAGCCAAGATTTAGTCCGTCTATATATTTCGTACAAGTAGCAACAAAGATAATGGAGGAAATTTACTAATAAAAAAGAGAATAGAGGAAATTAATGCAAAGAATACCCAAATTACACATTTGTTCTTTGAAATTTCATACTAGCCTCTAAGTCATTTGCAAGAAATGTGTTTATTATCTCAACGTAGTAACTAATCAAGAATTTTGTCCAAATGCACCACGGTAGGTTGGAATTTGATTCCATAAAAAAGCTCTTTGCCATAAACCAAAGAATAATCTTCTTTTTCTTGGCAAGCGTTAAAAACTCAACCAAAAACGCAGCCAAGGCAGCTTTGACTCATAAATGAGAAAGAAACCCCTTTTTTAATAAATGTATATATATTTTTTGGATAAAGAATGTCAAAGGTTCGAACAACCTCAAACATAGAAATTGTGAAGGGCAAAAAAGATAATAAATGCAAAAGGCAAGGGCAATTTGGAAAAGAGGAATGAATCACAAACTTTTCCTCGTTCAACAATCAACCGTTTTTCCCAATAATAAAATTGAATAGAATATACGTTGCAAATTACAATGAACACCACCAACTCCACCCATATTCATGTAATTCATATACACACACTCTTCCCATTCATCTCTCTCTCTCTCTCTCTCTCTCTCTCTCTCTCTCTCGATTCTCTAATGGTCATTGAGTAGCATTTGTGACGAAGCTAGGTCCATTTGCTTTGTGCCCACTTCGAGACTTCCAATATTAGCTTGATGGGTAATAAGTTCAAGATCTGATTTTTCTTTTCTTTTTGATTTTATTATTTCTCTCTTTCTCTCTATCTCGTTGGGTAGATCTTTTTGAGAGAAGAAGAAGAAGAAAAATGGGAAGCAAATGGAGAAAAGCGAAGCTGGCTCTTGGGCTCAACAGTTGTCTCTACGTTCCCCAAACTTCCGACGACTCTTCGCCCTCAAACGGCGTCGCTTCAGCCAGGTTATCCGACGTCGTTTCGAACCCTTCTGCGCTTTCCCCGACCGATCATGGCCCCGATCGCCGCCCAACGACGCCGACCCCATCGTCGTCTGGTCTCCGATTGTCCAAAAGCGGAACCAAGTCCTCCAAGGTTTGTTTTTCCCCTTAACCCAATTTATTTTTTTAGTTTTTTATTTGTTTCTTTTGCATGTTGAAGTATTGAGTGGGAATCCAATGCTTTCTTTCTTTTTTTCTGCTATGTTAATCTTTTGTGCGATTTTTTATTCTCTGGAACTTTTACACAAATTTATTTTATTTATTTCGTGTGTTGTTTGCTGAATATCCATGGTAGATTCTCAATAATGGGTTTTTAAGCATGTAGAAAAAAGAATTCTTTTTTTTCCATGATTAGTAAATTGGTTTGTTTGTCTAATCTAATTATCTCTGACTATTGTTGTTGTTTAGTTTTGCTTTTTTTGCCAATTGTTTTTCTGTTCATGTGGGGTAGGGGTTAAATTGTAAAAGAAGGAGATGAGAGAAAAAGAAGAAGAAGAAGAAGTAGTGGTAATGTGAGATGGGATTGTGATTTTAAGATTAGATGATGGGTATTGGTTTGTCATGCTGTTTTCAGCTTGAGGACTTTGTGTGGGGGAGAGATAAAGTGGGGACTAGTTGTCCTTTGGCTTATTAGAAAAGTAATACACATTACCTACTGTACCTTTCCATTTCATCTTCCCTTCAACGGCAAGTGTTTTGTCTGCTCAGCACCATTGCTTGCCACTCTCTCTCTCTCTCTCTCTCCTTTTGATGGTAATTTTAGAAAAGCCTGTGGACCGCGGGTTATCAGCTTCAAGAAAGGAAAAAAGGAGGGAAATTTGGAAGAGTAAGGAGAAATATATAAGTGGAAAGTCAGAGCAATTATTCATCATTCATCATTTTTCCCATCTTTTGATGAGCTTTGGTTATTTCACATAAGTTTTCTATGGTGGTAGGGCATACAAAATATGCATATAAGTATGTTTATTAGCCTTAGATATGGTTAAAATCGCGCTAAAAAACTGACAGAACCAAATATAAGATCTAACGGTTCAAAACAAAATCCCAATAGAGGTAATTTTTTTTTTCTTTTTTGGTACACTACTGTAAAATTTTGATTTTTCACAACCGTCGTGCCTCATTTCTTTTCTTATTATTTGTCTTGAAAGATTCATCATTGATGAGTAGGAGAGTTGCTTGTTGATGATTATTCTTACTTTTTCAAAAAAGTCATCCCCCTTGGTTTTCGTTAATTTCCCATTATGTCCTCCATAATGGTTTGACCACCCAAACTCTGACCTTTTTTTTTTTTTCCCCTTTTTGGGTGGGCTAGCAAGCTGGTTTACCAAAGAACTGTTAATCATAGTATTATTCTTTAGTCGTGATTCAATAAAATCTAAAACGGTCCTCGATATTGGCAATTTATAGTGCCAGACATGTTGCATTCCAGTTCATCTTTTTAGGCATTAGTCCCTCCAGTGGGGCTGCAAGGGCACAGTGGGGTTAGCATAGATGCTACAATGTTCTACACATCCAATCCAATAACCTTAAAAAGTAAATTATTATATTTTAAGCAGGTGCCCACGTTGCCTTTCTTTAAAGAGAGGTTGAATTGGGATGTTGCTCCATGATTTGGGAAGACTTCCGAGAGTTGACACTTTTCAAATCTGGTTTTAGTCGGTTTTAGAATTTTGAATTAAAGCTAACTTCTTAGAATCTGAGAATTAAGAAATTTCTTTTTTAATTCCTAAACCAGACTCTAAATATGATGAAATGCGTGACTGTACAAAATACAGTTACCAATTTTTCTATAAGCATATATATAAGTGATACCGTTGGAAGCATTGGGAAACCCAAACTCTGACCTTTTTTTTTTTTTCCCCTTTTTGGGTGGGCTAGCAAGCTGGTTTACCAAAGAACTGTTAATCATAGTATTATTCTTTAGTCGTGATTCAATAAAATCTAAAACGGTCCTCGATATTGGCAATTTATAGTGCCAGACATGTTGCATTCCAGTTCATCTTTTTAGGCATTAGTCCCTCCAGTGGGGCTGCAAGGGCACAGTGGGGTTAGCATAGATGCTACAATGTTCTACACATCCAATCCAATAACCTTAAAAAGTAAATTATTATATTTTAAGCAGGTGCCCACGTTGCCTTTCTTTAAAGAGAGGTTGAATTGGGATGTTGCTCCATGATTTGGGAAGACTTCCGAGAGTTGACACTTTTCAAATCTGGTTTTAGTCGGTTTTAGAATTTTGAATTAAAGCTAACTTCTTAGAATCTGAGAATTAAGAAATTTCTTTTTTAATTCCTAAACCAGACTCTAAATATGATGAAATGCGTGACTGTACAAAATACAGTTACCAATTTTTCTATAAGCATATATATAAGTGATACCGTTGGAAGCATTGGGAATCTGTGGCTTTGTCACTTGTGGGCTGTAGGTAGCTTTCAAGGTACCCGTGAAATTGAGGTTCTTAACCCGTGACTGGCATTGTGTTTTGATAGATAGTGACAGTCTTTTGTTGATTGTGTGGTTGTGCTAAAAAATGAACGTTTTAGGTATCCCGTGAGTTGATGACTCAGGTTGGATCAACTAAGTTCAAATAAATTGTTTCCGCCGAGGAAATTGCTTAACTCCCTTTGTTATAATGTTTTTCTGCTTGCATAATAATATAACCTCTTTGTAATTCTGGAAAGTTGTAACAATATGATATTATAGCCTCACCAGGTTGACTTTTCCTATCTGCAGAGGACCTGCGCAATATGCCTTGCCACCATGAAGCCAGGGCAGGGACACGCCATTTTCACCGCAGAATGCTCGCATTCATTTCACTTCCACTGCATCACCTCTAATGTAAAACATGGGAACCAAATTTGCCCAGTTTGCAGGGCAAAATGGAAGGAAATACCCTTTCAGAACCCTTCTTGTAATCTTCCGAATGGCCCGCTAAGAATCAACCCAGTTGGCTGGCCTCAAGATGATGCATGGATGACTGTTCTACGACGGCTTCCTTCGCCTCGGATGGAGGCAGGCCGGCAGATTGCCTCACTGTTTCATGCCGCAGAGCCGGCTGTCTTTGATGATGATGAAGTATTGGATCAACAACCTGAGATCAGTGACGGAAGTGCATCAAAAGTAGATGCTACCAATTACAATCGTGCTCAAATAGTGGATATCAAAACACATCCCGAAGTTTCAGCTGTCCCAAGATTAAGCTCTCACAATAACTTCACGGTGTTAATCCACCTAAAGGCTCCTTTCATCTCTAGAGAGAATAGTGGTAATCAAGCATCTCAAAATCCCCGTGCCCCTGTTGACCTTGTCACAGTGCTTGATGTTAGTGGCAGCATGGCAGGCACAAAGCTTGCTTTGCTAAAACGAGCTATGGGTTTTGTGGTACAGAACCTCGGTCCTTCTGATCGGCTCTCGGTCATTGCCTTCTCCTCCACAGCTCGCCGTCTCTTCCCGCTCCGTCGTATGACCGAGAGTGGAAGGCAGCAGGCACTACAGGCTGTTAATTCTTTGATCTCAAATGGTGGAACTAACATAGCTGAAGGCCTCAGAAAAGGCGCCAAGGTGCTAGGGGATCGCAAATTGAAGAACCCAATTGGCAGTATCATACTTCTTTCTGATGGACAGGATACGTATACTGTCAATGCTTCTAATGGGTCAAATGCCCGAACAAATTACCAGTCACTTCTTCCCATCTCGATTCATCGAAACAACGGTGCAGGCTTGCACATTCCAGTACATGCATTTGGATTTGGTGCGGACCATGATGCTTCCTCTATGCACTCCATCTCCGAGAATTCTGGTGGGACATTTTCGTTCATAGAAGCTGAGAGCGTGATCCAGGATGCATTTGCGCAATGCATTGGGGGGCTGCTGAGCGTGGTTGTGCAAGAACTTGAGGTTAATGTTGAGTGTGTTCATCCGAGTTTGCGACTGGGTTCAATAAAAGCAGGAAGTTATCCGACAATGATGATGGCTGATGCAAGAATAGGATCAATCAGAGTTGGAGACTTGTATGCCGAAGAAGAAAGGGACTTTTTGGTGAATGTTGATGTTCCAGTTGAAGGATCTAGTGCCGAGACTTCACTGCTGACTGTGAGATGTGTTTTCCGAGACCCCATCACCAAAGAAATGGTTTCGCAAGAAGCCATCGAAGTAAAGATCCAGAGGCCTGAGGTAACCAGGCAACAGCTAGTGTCAATTGAAGTGGACAGGCAGAGAAACAGGCTCTGCGCCGCAGATGCAATGGCTGAATCTAGAGCTGCAGCTGAGAATGGCGATTTGGCTGGCGCAGTCTCTATCCTTGAGAGCTGTCGTAGGGCATTATCTGAAACTGCCTCTGCACAAACCGGAGACAGGTTATGCACTGCTCTCTGCGCCGAGTTAAAGGAGATGCAGGAGAGGATGGCAAACCGTCGCGTGTATGAGGAATCCGGAAGAGCCTATGTTTTATCAGGACTGAGCTCACACTCATGGCAGAGGGCAACCGCAAGAGGTGATTCCACAGACAGCACAACCCTTCTGCAGAGTTACCAAACTCCATCCATGGTAGACATGGTAAACCGGTCGCAGACCATGGTTTTCGGGAACCCTCCTCAAAGAAGTCTCCAGCCTGCTCAGTCATTTCCAACCCGATCAACTAGGCCAAGGTAATCATCACAAGTGTCCTTTAAGAAGGGTCTCCTCACCCTTATAGTTTTATATCTTCTATATTAATATAGATGGACCATTTTGTTTCCTTGTTAAATTGTGCTTATTGTGGTTTTTGGGCAACAAGAGAGATAATTGGGAGTTTTGGTGTCTTCACATGGTGGGGGTATATTTCCTTGTTTTGGTAATGTATATGAATAAGCAATTGGGGGAAAATGGAAATAGGTGAGATAATAGGGGCCTGGTAACAATTGTGAAAAAGGAAGAGGTGGGAGCTGGGGTTTACCGATAAGTGGTGTTTTGGATGATGTACATAAAGCACTGTTTTTCTTTCCTTTTTGGTTTTTGTTTATTTTTTTTTCTTTCTTTGAGAAGAGGGGGGGTATAGCATTGTAATTGTGGGGATACTTGAGGTGAATTTTTTTTCACTGTGCTATGTTATGACATATATACTCCTGATTCTTTTCACTAAATGTCATTATTTTCAAGTAATATATTTGGCACAAATTTTTATATCATCTATCTATGTTGAGTTTTAAGTTATGTTGGTTCTCCAATTATAAATATTATTATTATTATTATTATTATTATTATTATTATTATCTAGCTCAAAGAAAGAATATCCCATTTCCAAACCGTTTCAAGTACGTAATTTACATAAAAATTCCCATTTTAAACTTGAGGGGAAAAAACTCCCTTTTGAGAAATACGTAGGTTTCCTGTCAAAGATTTTGCAGAACTAGATCTGAGTCCGTTTGGTTTATGGATTAGAATGATTAAATTAGATCCATTTTCAATTTACGTATATTTTTTGTGAGAGAAAATACTGTAGCGAATCATGAATTATGATTCGAATAGAGAACGAATCCTCCAACTAAACGGGCTTTAAAATTGAGACAGGTAAAATGTGGCACATTACAACCGTGCAAAGATTTGAATTTTTGTTCAAACCCCGCAAAGCAAGCAACAAGAAATAAAACAAATCCTACCATTTTTCGGGAGGGAGACAGAACTAGAAGAGTTAAAAAGAACCAATACACACTTGTTTCTTATACGAAATGGAAAACAGCAAATGGAAGCATTGATTTAGCCGTGTTTTCACTTGTTTGCATTTTCCATTAGGATCACTATTCCATTGCCTTCTATAGTTATAACTAAAGTGGCATTCTGAAAAGCCGTTAATTGTGTTGAAAAGATTGAACGACCCACCACATTTACTTTTTCTTTTTCGTCCTCTTTTTTTTTTTTTTTTTAAATACGAATTCATGGATATTCACACCCACAGTTCCATCTTTGACAATCACAAGTGAGAGGGGAAAAGTAAAAGGTTATAATCATTAATGATTAACCACTAATGGGCATCATTACCTTGAATTGAATGAGAATTTAAGGTCAAGTCATAAACGCCTCGATTTTAGGATAATTACACCCCCTAAATCACCTAAATCGGTCAGAAGGGCGATTATCCAAAAAAAAAAAAAAAAAAAAAAAGAAGAAACAAGCGCGCGAAAGATTTGGGGAACGATGCATATCCCAGGTCACACTCTCCAAGCAGCTTTGCCCCACCTCCACGTGCCGACTGCCACGTCATCATCTTTAACACAACTCACATGAAAATATGAAAACTCATGGCTAATTATAAAAAATTAAGAGCATTTCACGTTGATGTTTTCTGCATTATACTTAAATTACTGAGAAATTCAAAATTTTTTATGTCAGCACTTTAAGTTTTTAAAAGAATTAAAAAAACACTCTTTTACAAACAAACGTGACGGAATATATTTTGTAAATAATTAAAATATCCCTTCTACATAAGTAAACACCTCTCCTAATTGCATTTAAGACCTAAAAAAAATATCATTTTCACCTTTTATTTAGTCAAACAAAAATAAAATTAATTGATTTTGGCACTCTAAGATCAAATAACAACTTTATCAAAAGTTAAAATTAATGCACCAATTAAATTGACAACTGAAATTTATTCAGAATATTCGTGTAAATCTCTAAAAAATAAAGTGAAAATTATACTATGTGATGCATCCACAAGAGTGGAATTAAAACATAATAATTTTTGTTTAAAAAAGAACTTAGAAATAATAATTACTCAAAAACAATTATAATAACTACATAATAAATTTTCCCTAATTATTATAATAGTTTTATTTTATTCAAAATTTTCCTATATTTTAAATGTGTACGTGCCTAAATATTTCAAAACAGGAATAAAATCATTTTAATAATCCTTAATATAACAAAATATCTTATTGATATTTTATATTTTTAATAATATTAAAACGATACATTCACTTTTAAAAAAAATAATTTTTAATACCTTAGAAATTAATTTTTTGAACTTACAATGTGTAAACTGCATTTTCATTAATTAAATAAAAACTAATAGCTTTTAAAATATTTTTTGAAAACATGTTAATTTATTTTGATTATTTAATTTTTAAATATTTAAAATTTTTCAGAATTCTTTTAAAAATTATTAATTTATTATTGAGAGGGGTAAAATGGACATTTTATATCTTTAAAATCAGTCAAAAAAGAAATTTTTTTGTAAAAAAATTAAGGTACCCTTTTAATAAATTATTAAAAACACACCATACCGGCAGATACAACGGAGGGTACCATTTATCCCTTCAAAATAAATGAATAAACAAGTGGGCCCACACTAGCCCGTTTAGAGACCCACCCTTGGGAAGCCGAGGAGGTCAGGTCCCTTCACCACCTCTGCTTTAGCGCATAGATGAATTCTCATTGTCGCCTTCATTTCCAACCTCTCGTCTCTCTTTTCTTCTCTTCCCGGCCTCACTCAAGTTTCCTTTCCCTTTTTTTTTTTTTTTTTTTTTTTTTTTTTTTTTTTTTCTCATATTTTTCTTTTTTTTTGTGCTAGTTACTCAAGTTTCGACCTTACCGAAGCGACTACATTAGAGAAGAAACTCGACACGGCACTACTCTTTCACCTGGCTCACTGATTCACCCAGATCCGTATGCTTCATGTGATTTAGCTCAAAAAAGAAGCTCCTTTTCGGTGCTTTTCTCAGTCTCAGTACCACAGAAGACGTCAGAGAAGACACTCTTCGAGGTATACTTTTTGCCACTTCTTCCTTTTCCACTTTCAGTGAATCAGTTTGGTCGATATTTCACGATTGAAAATTTGAAATTCCGGTGAATTTAAGGCTTCAACGTTACAATTTTGGTCTTTTTCATCTTCTCTCTCTTTTTGGTGAGAGAAAATGGTGAGGTTGATGAATTATGAGACCAGTCATCGCCTTTCGAGTTTCGAGAATATTATTATAAGGTAATAATTTATTTTCGTGTGAAATTTCTCGTGACCCCTGAGGAGGGGGAATGCCACGTCATCGATTAGGGGGTTTGAAAAGTGTAGATGGGATTCTTCTTCTCCGTAACTCGGTATCTTTTTAGCTCTATCTGACTGTTTCACTTAATCCAACGGTCGTGATCGTCTGTTGAAAGATGCCGACGCAGATTTAATTGGGCCTCTGGCCTAAGCCTGGGACTTGGCCCACCGTGATGTAATATGCACGCGGCCCATAGCCGACACGCAGGTGGGGCCCAGTGTCGGGAGCATTACGTTGGAATTTTACTTTACATGTTGCTTTACGGAGCTCCAACGTGTATGTTTTGTGTCTGTCTTTGAAGCAAAGTCTCGCAAGTTATAGCCGTTGATATCCTTTCCCAAAATTATTATTATTTTTTCAAAAATAAAAGTAAAAAAGAAGTTAATTAAATGGTCTTTATCATGATTAGCTTCAATAAAGAAACATAAGTAAACTTTTTGGGGAAGGATTAGGATATGGTGAGTGGTGAGGAGTCTCTTTCATATCGGCGTATTTCTTATTTTCAAAGAGGTGGTTGAACTTGATGGGTTCGATTTAGCACCATTTTTCTCTTTTTAAATGTTCCAAAGAACCCATCAAACTTTTTGTCCTCTACACTCGCTCTCACATGTCTGTTATGTAATTTCCTTTTTTAAGCACACCAACTAGATCATTGAGACGCTAACTTTGATGGGGTTTTTTCAATACTAAAATTATCTTAGTCTTTAGTTTTATGGGTATTTGTTGCTTCTTCTTCTCAGACTTTGTTCATTTCACTTATATAAGGTTTTAATTTTAAGTTTTTATATTTAAAAATTCTTAACAAATTTTACATCTATTTTTACTACATTAAAAATTTTTAAAAAATATTATATTTTAATTCAAATTAAAAAATTAAATCTGTAAAGCGCACGAGTCTCTCAGATAACTTTTGAAAGTTCAATTCTCTCTTAAGGTGTGGTTAAATTTTCTCAAAACCCCTTGTTTAGTCTTGTTCTTACTTCTTCTCAAGTGGGTGAACTAAAATGCTCTCACTTTTTCCACTTTCCTTGTGATTATAGGCGACTTGTAATGCTACAGTACAAGTGAATTTACTTTCTTTAAAGCTAATATGTGTTTAGTTTAAACTTAAAAGAATTTAAGTCTACGAAGCTTTGGTGTAGCTAGCCAGCTGGTTCATGTTATGCGGCTTATAGTTGTATTTTTATGGTTTCAGTTGTAAATTTAGAAAGATGTGGGGCAAGACAATCACTCACTGGGTTATGTTTCCGATGTGCCAAATATCTGTTTCTTAATGTGATACATGCAGTGGTCGGCCCTGTTTGTGGCCCAATAGCCCAATAGCGTCCTTAGCTTAAACAGTCCCATGCTTCAAATCATAGTTAATTGTTTGGGTGCAACTACATTTGCATTCATGGTGGTGCATTTATAAATTTAGTTGTGTAACATTATTTCATGTGTTGTGACCATTCATGGCCGTAGAGGATGTCGATGCCAAAATCGTGTTAATAACGTTTGAAGCTTGCAGAAAATTCTCTCTGTTTGTGTATTGCTTGAGAATTTGGTATATTGGGTTGCATTGAATTGGAAGTTTTCTAGAAGTTTGTTGGCCAAACTATAATTGGCCATTCCTACCTGTCATTTTCTTTGTTTATTTTCTGCAAAATGAGGTGTTTGAATCAGTATAGTCAGACCAAGAATGATTTCACAGCTCTGTTTGTCCATCACATTTTACTATAAGCGATATCACAGTCGCACTATGAGAGTCTCTTTCATTTCTAGAAATAAGCGTCTGTTATAAAGCTTTAGGAAATTAATGTTTAAATATTTGTGCTAATACACTTATCGAGACTCCGAACTTTCATTAGCGTACGCTTACTGGATTGCAGGGTGTGAATCAAGGACGTTCAGTTAGTAGACGTTTAGTCCCTAATGAAGGTAATTTCTTCTCGTTCTACAGTCTAAAGTTTTATTTTAACAAAGTTTGCTTCTTTTTAGTTTTCATGGAGTAACCAGAACAAGCTTTAGAAATTTACCGTTCTTGCTTGTCGGTCATTTTCTTCGCCTGCTGTAGTAACTGGTGAATTAAGATAGTTTTTTGTATCCCCTCTATTTTCTCCCAATTTATCAATAATGATAAGCTAACATTTCATTTCAAGATAAAGAACTACTTGAAGTTGCATACAATTTAGTATTAGCTTCCAGTCAGGAACGCGGAACAAGGTTTTGGTTATCATAATTTTTAGTTTGAGAGAACTAGGAATATTCCTATATGTTACGAATCTAACACCTAATATCAACCAGAACACCAAACAGATTTAATTAAGAACAAGAATCAAAACAACGCAACCAGAATTTGATCTCGGAGTTTGGCACAACTGTTACCTACGTCTCCGCGAACTCCCTAGAGGAATTCGACTTGCATTCAACAAAGTTTCTTCAAGTCAATTACAGAGAGATACACCAGAAAAATAATCAACCCAGAACCTCACTTTCCCGAGAAAAACCAGCGAGAAAAACCCCAAGAAAAACAAAGCCTTTTCTCTCCCTTTCTCACTCTAGAATCCCTTTCTCACACTAAGGGACGTTTGGTTCATGAATTCAGAACCATGATTCAGAATTATTTTTGTTTTACGTGTATTTTTTATGAGAGAAAATACTGTAACTAATCACGAACTATAATTCAAATCATGACACGAATCCCCTTTTCAAACGTCCCCATAAAGCTCTTTTATTACAAGATTATCTCTCTCTCAAATTCTGTACTGGCTGATTTCAATATCAGTAAATACAATATATAAACAGCTATACAACTTGCAAGGAAAAGTTGTTGGAGAATAGCCAATTGAAGTGGCTTCTAGTAGAGTCTACAACTTTCTGATTCATTGTTTTAGTAAAATGCTGCCGTATTGCTTCACCAACTCCTTGTCGTTTTCCTTAGCTGCTTTTCTAATAAAAGAAATAATCATCTTGACTTAAGAATATTAAATCCAATTAAGATAAGATTTGACTCAACACTAACTATAATTTCCTTGTATCTAAAAGAATTTGCCATCATTCTCTGAAGATCTTCAGATAAACTTTCCTTTCTACCTTGGTTTTTGTGTTGATGCAGCATTATTAAGTGTAAAATTCTCATCCTGAATTTCATATGCTGCTCAGGTTGGAGCAAATGAAATTCCACGCGGAAGTTGTCCTTGCTTGCGTTGTCAGCTTCATTTGTGTTCATCAAAGTCTTTGTGGTTAGTATCAAGTGATTTAATATCTACAGAGACAAATCTCTGATTGTTGCTCTCAAAAGCTTACTAGTCTATTTGGCATATTCCTACTATGTGATTTTGTCGCTAGGCAAAAGGAGAGTCTAACTATATATTTGTCTCCTGCACATTTAACAATTTTCTTTAAATAATCAGCAGTAACAGTTGCTTAACGCAGTATCTCAAGTTTGCCCCAATTTTTAGGCCTGTTGTACTGTGTTTTTGATTTATGCAATCGCAGGATATGAAGCTTATTTCCATAGCTTTCTTGGGCAGATGAAATTTCCAACACCTCTGGCATAAAGGACTGGACGTGTGAATGCTCCTCTTCATATCAAGGGAATCAGAGTTACACAATTGGATCTAACTGTTCAACATCCTGCGATTGCAGTCAGGGTATGCTGCTGATTTTTGTGGTACAATAACGGAAAGCTTTGCTCTGCTTACGATATAAAATTGTTATTGAGCTTCTACTGGAAGCATTTTTGGTTAATTCGTTATTGATAGAGGCATGACCCATCTACGGATACATAAAGATGTGATATTTTAACGTATGGGATGGAAAATTTGCATAATTCCTTTTTTTTTTTTTCTTTTTTTTTGAAATCTACTTGATAATTTAGGTCTTTTACTTTCACTCTATGCTTACTTTTTTTTTTTTTGCAGTAACACAAGTCTTCATGTTCTAAGTTAATCTTCAGTGCTCTATTTTGCTGTTCACCTTTTCAGTGTTCTGATACTTATGTGGAGTATGCTTGATTATGCCGTGTAGATGCATGTTTGCGTTGTAAATGTTCAAATACAATGGCATTGTTTGTCATTCATAGAATCATATTTGTTTTCTGGATTATTTATTTGTCCGAGAATGATCAATTTAAGATGTGTGGAGATGCTAACGACATACCTCTTTCGTAGATGGTGGAAGTATATGGAGGTGCCAATGTCCTGCAGATGGGCTTCCTAAAGTTGCAGCTGATAGCCAGTATACTAACTGTTTTGCAGCCTGTAACTGTTCCATTGGTATTTACTCTCTCTCTCTAAAGTTTTTCTCTAAGTGTTTAAGAATCTAATGTGTTAAAACGGTGTTGATTAACTCTCCTTATCAATATTACTATACACGGCTTATTGTTATGCTATTCCTTAAGGATCTAATACTTGATAGCTACCATTCCTTTACTGTGTCTTTTGTTCTCAATAGCAATCTTGTGTTGTGCTATTCTTCTTTTTTTCTCTTTGCTTCCGTTTATTTGTTTATACTATATTTCGTTTTTAGATTCAATTTCATTTACCATCTATTACTTCAATAAACTAACGTGCATTTTGATTTCTTTATGACAGGATCTCTTGGTGATACAGAATCTTCAAAAACGCACATTTCAAGCAAAGTTGTTGTAGTTGTATTATTAATATGTGTCATCCTTACAACTCTTGCATTTCTCTCCTCGGTGGCATGCTACTTCTACCGAAAAGACAAGTCTGCTATTCAACCACCAGTGTTGTCATCAGACAGAGAAACTAGTTTCAACAGTGCTGCCAATTTAATTAGCCACAGGACTTATTCACTCTCTGAACCCAAAACTGTTATAAATTCTCCTATTAAACAAATCAAAGGTTAGTCAGGGTTTACCTTGGTTATGTGGTAGATGAACGTCTTAAATGCTTCTAAGTAGTCTGTTGAAACCTTCTGTAACGCCTTTTCATTCATTCACAGGGTGCTTTCACAGGAATTCTTTCTTGTTGGGGAGCAGAACAGGAACAATACATGGATTGATTGTTCAATTTTCGTACTCTGAATTGCATGATGCCACTGAAAAATTTTCAAAGTCTAATCTTATAGGAGTTGGGGGAAGTAGTTATGTTTATCGTGGTAAGCTCAAAAATGGCAAGACTGTGGCAATTAAGCGACTAAAAACTCAGAAAGGGCCTGATGCCGTTTCTGTGTTTTTGACAGAGGTAATAATGCCTCATCTTGAATTCACGTTTGATCGTCCTCATCATGTCTGAGCATATTAGAGAGTAATTTGCTGTTTCTCAATTTATAAGAGCAAAAGTTTGTTGCTTTCTCAGATTGAGATATTATCCAGACTGAATCACTGTCATCTGGTGCCTCTGGTTGGCTACTGCTCAGAAACCCGCGGAAAAAATGCTGAGAGGTTGTTAGTGTTTGATTACATCCCTAACGGTAATCTGCGAGATTGTTTAGATGGGGCCTCGGGGAAAAAGATGGATTGGGGTGCTCGAGTTGGAATTGCAATTGGAGCTGCAAGAGGATTAGAGTATCTCCATGAAGCAGCTGCTCCAAGAATTCTGCATCGAGATGTCAAATCAACAAACATTCTTTTGGATGAAGAATGGCGAGCAAAGGCAAGAATTTGGATCCTTTGAAATTTGAATCATCTACATAAATCTCAAATTTTAGAAAGAAAAATGAGAAAATGACCTAGTGTTGTTTTGATTGGGTTATAGAAACTAGAGAAATGTTCAATTTGTAGCGAAAGTTGAGTGTCACTATCAAGTTTGTTTTCTGCCAACTAATTGTCATCTTAGCTAGTAATATGCTTGTGTTTGAATCATGGAGATGTTCTTGTTTCTTAGCTTGACAAAGTATGGTCTATCATGTTGAGATGTCAAGTACGGTCTAGATTCTCAAAACTAAAGTACATTTGCTTTTTTCATATGCTTATCTTGGGACTGGTCACTGGAAGTTCTTGTTTCTTCCATCAATAAGTGATAAGTAATCGAAGAACTCGATATTCTTTTTTTAATGATATTATCTTCATATTTCACCCAGTTGGAACGTGTGTAATGCAATGCTAAACTACTCTTATTGTGCAGATAACTGATCTTGGTATGGCAAAACACTTGAGAGCCGATGGTCTCTCCAGCGGTTCGAATTCTCCAGCAAGAGTGGAGGGGACTTTCGGCTACTTTGCACCAGAGTATGCGATTGTTGGACGAGCCTCTCTTAAGTCGGATGTTTTCAGTTTTGGGGTTGTTCTTCTTGAGCTTATCACTGGTCGGCCGCCTATTCATAAACAAAGTGGCAAAGGAGAAGAAAGCCTTGTCATATGGGTATGAAATTCTATTACTATGTCATGTCATTGACCAAAGCAATCTCATCCTCATCTCTTTATTAATCGTAAATATATCCTATCATCAACTTTTCTTATTATCAGGAGGCAGTTTTCCATTATGGATTTACCTTGTTTAATTTTCCACTTTCATCCTGATTGGGGTGAGCGGTATGCTTCCATTAGGACGAATAATTCATTTACTTAAAATGGCTGAAACACTCGAACCTGATAGCTTTTACCATTTAAGAAGTTCATCGTGAATTGTCTAATGTAGATCTGGAATGCACATGTTTGTCATGTTTCAGGCTACTCCTCGGTTACAGGACAGTAGGCGAATAATCATGGAGCTGCCGGACCTGAATTTAGATGGTAAATTCCCAGAAGAAGAGATGCAGATAATGGCTTACTTGGCAAAGGAATGCCTGCTATTGGATCCCGAGGCTAGACCAACAATGGGTGAGGTTGTTCAAATTCTTTCAACTATTGCACCAGAAAGATCTAGAAGGACGAACATCTCTGTGAATTTTTCTCAGGTAATAATTTTTCACCAACTACATTCTGGTACTTCTGATTTGATCATCTCTAGGTCTCCCCAATTCTGTGCTTGATATTTTGTCCCCTTCTTGCTTTACTATTGGCAAACTACAGGAAGATTTTTCACAATACCTTTCTTATGACCTTTAACAATTTTTGTGTTTGCCTGATAACCTTTTGTTCTCTTGACTCTTTGCTTGTCACGTAGAGGTCGTCAACTTATGGTGCGCACAGCGAAGAATGCATAGACATACCTGACTGCAGCCATATTTCCAAACAACACATGCACACAGAGAGTTCTGAGGATGCAGAGGAGCTAAAGCGAGTCGTGTCCTATAATCTCTCGGTTCAGTGTTCAGTGCCACTAGATGTCAACCACACAGCTATTCATGTTGAAGACAAGGAAGAAAATAGAATTTCAGCTGAGTATATGGAGAGATTGGTACTCTTGGCATCAAAAGCTAGGAGCTGGCGTGCCTCGGATGATGAGACAGTAGACTTGACTGAACCTTGGTTTGAATCATTCCACATGGGAAGTGTTCGTCCCCCATAACTTGCTAGCAAACATGGACTTAGCAAGAGAAAGAGGACCAGAACTTTGTCCTGGTAACTTAGAATTACTGTTGTACAACTTTGTTGGATATACAGAAACTTTTTCTTTTTTACAGGAGGAGGAGAAAGAAGCAGGTTCCGTGAGGGCTTGTTACTAGATTTTCTTTTTCTTTATCCGATATGGTTAGATGATCATATGATTGACTTGATTATTTCATTAAATTTTTCTTGTGCAGAGAAAACTTGTAGAAATTCAAGAGGCTGTCATCTTTGATATAAAATTGATCGTTTTCTACTTGTATTACATAAGCCTGCAACAAAATTTATAGCACTGGCCGGATATCAATTTGGTTGCCGTGCCATTATGTTGTAATTTTTGTTCCAAAAACATAGCCACGTCTTGTGGTTTTTCTATTTGACAGTAAAAACCGATGAGAAAACCCGCATGTACTCGAGCATATGAAGCCTGCCATTTTCTAAAAATGTGGTAAGAAAATTGCCCCAGAAGGCAATTCCTTCTACTTTCAGTTGGATGCTTAAAAAAGTGCATATATATGGTCAACTAATGATGTATTTGGCGTTAGTTGAGTACCCAATTTTCGCAGTAGTCTTGAACCTGCCTTTCATTGAATGGTAGATGGAGGGTATTACTTGATGACAGGATGGTGCGACATTTGAGATATAATATTATAAGCCATCTGTATTTTAGACAACTCCCATTACTGCATTTTAAGAGCTGCTGTGAGAAATGGATCTGCATCCACCGCCACCGCCACCGCCAAGCGAACCGTTGCTGCCTCCGGCTCCGGCTCCTCCTGAGGGAGGATTCTTAGAATCATGGTAGAGAAATTTTTTTTAGCTTCTTAATTTTTTAATTTTATTTTCATCAATATGTTGAATGGCATGAAAAGTTAGTGAAGCCAAATCTTAAGGGTTACATATTTTGCAGTTTGTCGTTTCTGTGCTGCTGTGGTCTATTTAGAAGCTGCTGTCCACCGCTCTTTGCACCTGGACCTCCCCCTCCCTAATGTTGCAAACGACAATCTTCATATCACAGAATCACAGAATCTTTTGTAATTTATTTACGAACTCTTTGTATTGTGAACGTATATGTTGGCAACAACTTAAAATGTAATTGGAAATGGACCTGTCACCTCTCCTGTGTACGCCGATCGAGAAAATTTGATTTTTAGTTCTCTTACGTGTATGGTTTTATATTACTAAATAAATTATTTAACACAATGTAAGCATTTTTCTACTTGTATGTAATGCATGTCGCTTCCCTCTTCTGTTGTTCTTCCATTTCTTGTTCTCCCTTTCTCTAAAACGATTTCTCTGCTTTTAGCCGTTACATGAACGGGAGAGAGCGTGTACCAAGTTAAAGAACATGCCGTTTTTATAGTTTAAAAAAACGACAGTAGCAGAAAACGACATCTTGATTATGCCTCGAAATAAAAACGACATTATCATAAAACTACTCGTACAAACTAAACAGGGGGAGAGATATACGCTAAAAAATACACACAATTTTGTAAATAAAAAACACGTTTTTACACTGGAACTCAACTCACAATAAACGACACAAGTAATTAGACATTAGTATGTATTTAAAAAAACGACTTCGGGTCATGGACACCATTGTAATGGCATGTCGTTTGCAAAACGACGATAGTAGATTACTAGATTGTCATCGAAGAACAAAAATTGAGAACCTAAACTGCTTAATTCAATCAAAGGCAATCTCACAGATTTTTTTTTTCCCAAAAAAAAAAAAAAAAAAAAAAAAAAAAAAAAATATTTCCAAAAAAAAAAAAAGTAAATTACAAGTGACAAAACGCACCGTTTTATGCGGGGGTTGGGAAGGCTAAAAGAAGAGTGCGTGTGTGAGTGTGACACCGAGTACTAACTCTCTCAAACAGCCAAAGACCGTGAAAGACAGAAAGAGCCGCCGCGAATGGCCGCGAAAGCCGCATCAACGCCGACCACCTACTCACCGTCTCCGACGACCCAGAAAACCAAACCTTCCTTTTTCAAAAACGACAACGTCGATTGGGTCCGACCCGATGGCCGCGGTTTTCACCAGTGCAGACCTGCCTGTAAGCCTTCTCTGTCTTCCCTATTCTTCCCTCTTTTTTTATTTTTGTTATTTGTTTTTTTTTAAATTTGATTGAGGTTCAGAAATTGATGTTCTTAAAACACCCAACGGGGATCATTTTAATCCCTTTTATATTCCTTAAATATTCCCCACTATGAAATTGAACTGCATGTTTAAAACGTGATCTTCCACAAGAAATAAACCTCATTTCTTGCGAAATTTTCAGTTTTCAGGACTGGGGCTGTGAATGCTGCCGCGGGATCTGCTTATGCAGAGTTTGGAAATACAAAGGTCATTGTGTCTGTGTGAGTGTTGTTCTTTATATACACACATTCATATGATATATAAAAAACATACATACATATATATATATATATATATATATATAGACACACACACACACACATGCATACATTTGTTTATTTACTCATTTGACATGTGAGTTTAGATTTGGGCCAAGAGAGAGTAAGAAGGCAATGATGTACAGTGATATTGGGCGCTTGAATTGTAATGTTACCTTCACAACTTTTGCCACACCAGTCCGTGGACAGGTTAGTACTAACTTTATCCAACCATTTTGGAATTTGGAAATTATAACATTTTCTTGTACCTTCCCTTAATTAATTATTGCGTGTAAAATTTGAAAATTTATTATGTTAGGGATCAGACGACAAAGATTTTTCTTCAATGCTTCATAAAGCTTTGGAAGGTGCAATCATGTTAGAAACTTTCCCCAAAACAACCGTCGATGTTTTCGCGTTGGTTTTGGAATCCGGTGGCAGTAAGTTCATAAGCATTTCTGGTGGCTTCAAAGTGTTTTTATTGTTACCGCGAATTTTGATGATATATTTTTTTGATCTTATAGATTTCTATCACTTACTTTCCATTGAGTCTCTTTGGAAACTTTCTCCCTTTTAGGCTACGATAGAAACGAAGAAGCCCAAAAGTCCTCTCTTGCATATTGTTTTTGGTTGGTTACAATTACTCAATGGTCGGGCATTCAGCATGTTCTGTTGATCTCTGACTAAACTTTTTATTTTATTTTATTTGTTATTTCTTGCACTCTTATGATAATAATTTTCATTGATGTTAGTTTACTTTCTGCCTTTTGTAGAAGGCACTGGAAGTGGTGTTGTTTGAGTTAGCTTATTTTCTATTTACTAACATTGTCACGTTTATAAAGCTTCCGCGTCCTCATCTCAGCCCCAACCTTTTTTTTTTTGGGGATACTTTTTTCACACCTGGTTGATTTCCCTTGGCAAAATATTGAAAAATTGGTGTTTAGTGAATAGTTAAGTGACAGGTCAACATGTAGTCAATGCCTGTTGTCTGATAGAGATCGTGCCTGTTGTTGAAAGATGTTTAGATTTGATTTACAATTGAAAATAACTAAATAATAAAGAAGAAACAGCTCAATGTTTAATTTTAGCCATGTATTTTTGGATACTTTAACTATGGAAGAAATGAGGTATAACGACGATTTTTTTTTTTTTTTTTTCATATGTGCTTGTTTTTGGCTTTTTTAGGTGCAGAAGATAGTTCCTAATATGATCTCAATATGCAAAGAAACAGTGTATCTAATTAGCGTGTTCATGGGATTCATCCATTTTTTCTTTGCAGGTGATCTTCCTGTTGTTATTTCATGTGCTAGTGTTGCCCTAGCAGATGCGGGAATAATGATGTATGACCTTGTTACTTCAGTTTCTGTGGTATGCACCTGCCTCAGAGTTTTGATTCCCTACTTTCTGTTGCTTATTGAGCGTGAATGAAAATGTAAATTTTTACCTTAAGGTGGTTTAAAGCTATCTATTTTCTTTCTCTTTGTTCAAGTTCAGCTTTTTACCATCTTTTAAATGGTGGTGTGCAAGCATGCATAACTTGTTAAAAAAATTAGATTTTTGAAATGACAAAGTCAAGGTTATATAATTGGTAATCTTTTGTTTTTGTTCTGTCATTTTGGCTGGTCCGCTAAATATTTTGTTTCTTATGGTTCATTCTTTTTTTTTCTATAACTTTTAAACCCAATTTTGAGGAAAAATACCAAATTTGTACCGCATGTTTTCTTTTGCAAATTTCACTTTTGCTAATATTTATTCCTTGAGTACATTGATTTATCACGCTTGTGGTTTTGCATTTGTGGAGCATAGTCTTGTCTGGGGAAAAACCTTGTAATTGATCCCGTTTTAGAAGAGGAAAGCTACCAAGACGGAAGCTTGATGCTTTCGTGTATGCCTTCTAAATACGAGGTCACTCAGCTAACTATTACAGGGGAATGGTCAACCGCAAAAATTAACGAGGTACGACATCTTACTAGCTTAGCCCTTGGGTATTACATGCTTCTTCATCAAAGTTATTCAATTACTTAATACATTTATGACAATTGAAAACTACAATTGTAAGTGCATGAAAAATATGTTTCGTGTAAAATAAATTATTCATTTTAGTTAACAACACCCCTTGTGTTTGAAGTAACCTTTTGATGACACTTCGTAACAATGCGTCTCCTGACAGGGAATGCAGCTATGCCTAGATGCTTGCTCAAAGCTTGCAAAGATAATGAGATCGTGTTTGAAAGAAGCTGCTTCTGCTTCGGAAGACTAGGATCGAAATTTCCACAAATTATAGATCGAGCCGGTTCTTTAAGTTATTTTTTTCTTTTCGTTTTGGTCCCCTTGAAAACAATCAACTTTGAAGATTTGTTTCCGGACATTTTTGGTGTAGCTGAGCCAGGTTTTTCATATGAAGGTGGTTTTTTAGTGGGGAATTGCCATGTGAAAGTTTGCTTTGTATATAGGATTTACAGCTTATAGCACCTGAACACTTTTCCCCCTTTTTTGTTTTTCTTTTTATCAAGTCATTGGTATTTTGATTGTTCTGGAAATTCACATCATGTTAGGAATGTTTTTTCTTTTAAATTTATCCGGTAATATTTTCATCAAGTGGAAGTTATTATGGGAATGTACTGCAGAAAACAGATTTCCCCCCCTCTTTTGTTTCGAGTCACTAATGTTGTTCCAAATTTTGGTCACCAACACTCATGCCAACGCAATGATTTTCTTTGGTTCCTGAATACCGATTGAAATCTTAGGCCCAGGGGCTGATATCTTTACTTGGATGCCCTCTGTGTCATTTGATCGTACCATCATATTTGCCTCGAGGAATTCAGCTCGTGCGTTCTGTCATTCTCTTTATTTATTGTTTGATATGTAAATTTTATTAATATGAAATATTATTATTTAAACAGAAAATGAGATAGTGGAGTCTACGTGTTAAATAATAAATGTAAAAAGTCGTAAAAAGAGTGATAGAATAAGTGATGCTAACATTTTTTTTTATTTTGTATCTCTTGAGTGACATTATCAAGTGACATTACATTATGTCAATTAAAAAGTCACAATAACATAATGTCACGTATAGAGCTGCAAAATTAACATAATGTCACATATAGAGCTGCAAAATAAAGGACAAAAAAATTGGTACAATTTCTGCAATTGATTTTAAAAAATATGAATGACATATGTGTCAGAGCTTCTAGAAAATGAAATATTTAAGGGGACTAATACGGGCTGAAATTAGGAGTTTGGAAACTGTTGAGTCCGTGTGGGTCATAAACACGTGCAGAGGATATAAGTGGATCCATTGGCGCGCCCAATTATGTGGGACACTTTGCAGAGCAGTCCACTCTGTTTATGACAACCTTTGGCATTTGGTGGGCGAGCAATATGTTTAATGCTATCACAAGGATTGTCTCTACTCATATTTATATATATATATATATATATATATATATATAAAAACAAACAAAAAATCAATCATAATTTTCTTTTAAAAAAAATTAGAATTATATTATTTCATAATTGAGTTATCGCCCCTCCTTCCAAAACACCTCTGTATTCGGAAGGAAAATACAATTGGATGATGAAAGAAAAGATTCAAGTTTAAAAAAAAATTTGCGGTGAATGATTTTTTTAAAGCCTACTACTTTAAGTAAATTCTCTAGTTTTGGTAAACCAAAATAGTTCGATAATACGTTTATTATTTTTGTTAGATTATTGATTGGTTTTGATAAATTATTGATTTATCAACACTAGTATAATATATAAATTTTGAATCATGTAAATTATTTATCGTTGAACTTTAAACAATAGACATTTTCTAATTCAACCAAATCAGAGACATTCATTAAAACTATGCATAGAAAATGATAATTTTTTCACACATCCCCTTAGAGGTTGAAAATTCAGTTGCATAATACATTTTGAATTTTCGAATGTAACATAGTTTTAATGTCAGTAGAAAAAAAAAAACACAATAATTGCACTAAAAAAAGAAATCAATGAGAAGTGGTACGTGTAACAAGATAGTCCTAAACGATTGTGACTCGTCACCAACCATAAGAGGCCTATATCTTAGTGTTATAACACCTTGCAGGGAATATATATATATATAACTTAAAATGAACAAAAGAAATATGCAGCTAACCTCATTACGAGTCTTTGACAAACAAACAAACAAAACCATACTATTATTATGGGGACATCATAATAATGAAGTATATTTTATTTAAAAAATAATAATAATAATGAAATACATTTTTATGCCTACTTTCGTCTAACAATTAATTAGTTAATTCTTAATGATAACGTTTAATTAATGGGGATATATCTAAATGTATGCGAATGTACGAAACTAACACATGAAAATCAATTCCATGATGTCCGGTGGAGAAGTGAAAAGACTTTGATTGTAAGAAGCTGGTAAGGAACCGAGATCTCGCTGGCTTGTCGGATCGGATTACTCTTATTAATCCTATTCTTTTCACATAATCCTTTGTGATTAAAAAATAAGTACAATACCCTTAAAAAAAAAAAAAAGGTACATGTTTTGGAAATTATCAATTGGCCCCCTTGAATAATTTGAATTTATGAAAATGTCCCACCGTCGTTCACACAACCGGGAGCAGCCAGACAGCTAGACATGGTCAAAGTTCTCTAGAATAGAACTTTATTTTATTTTATTTTATTTTTTTAACATTATGGACCTTTCTGAGACTTCAAAGTCGACCAGTTCTTTTGTTCAAACTTTCTCTCTCTCTAAATAGTTTTACTAAATGCTTTATTTGAATAACTTGGAAAAAACTGTTGGCGGGGTAGGGGTTAATTGAATTTAAAGTGAAAGTTAATAGAACGATTTTGGGAACAAGATATAGAACATAAACAAAACTATCATGAAATTATCATGTGTAGCAAAATGTGATGATTATTTATCTTAATATTTATATAATATTGTCTCGAATAAAGCCAATGAAGAACCAATACCTTATTCAACTCAATCTATTACGCTCATACAGAACCACATAAGTCTGTTTATTTCGCTGATTCGAGTTTATAATTTGAGTTGAGATGTGATTTTGTGTGAGAGATTTTTACTGTAGTACAAAAATTAAATGTGACTGTTTCTGAGAGCTTTTTACTGTAGCAAAACTCGAATCGGTGAAATAAACGGTACGACTGAAATCTTGTGTCTCATAAATAAGTCTTGAGAGGATCATTTCAAGGAGTGATTAAAAAATGTAGATTGTTTATAATTAAATTCACAACCCAATTAGTCTTGTTACATTTTGTCTCGAGTTCAATATAAACTATATGTGGTAAAACTCTTCAGCAAACGGAATAATTCATTTCAAATAAAGGGATGGCAACAAATTTTGGTCACGGCAACTAATTTGATCGCAATCGCTTGTTGGTATAACTTGTTTTTTCTACCAATAATTAGCTTCAGAATTTTCTAGAACATCACAACCAAAGCTAGCATTTTCTATAAAAATTCCTACCCCAAAATTAATTAAATAAAGGAAAAATACAAAAATTAAAAGAAAATAACAAACCCACTCTGAAGCGCAAACTAAAATATAAAACCCTAAAAAGTAAATAAAAAAACTAAAAACTAAAAGAAAAATTGGCCGTTGACAACTGCAAAATATAATCTTCTTTGAAACCGATACTAAAGTCTAAAGGCACAAGCTGTCTCACCAAATATTATCTTAATTAGCATAAACAAAAATTTATTTTCGCAACATGAATCCTTGTCTTGTCTAGCACAAAGTGTATTTTTATTTTATTTTATGAGGCTTTCTCCGGTGTTCCTTCATTTTTAGGAACACCGGTTTTTCTTGATTTTCAGCCGTTAAATTTGTATTAGAATCTATCTATTTTACATATATTTTTAATCTGGTGTGATTTTGACCAGATTTAACAGTTAAAAAAACATAAAACACCAGTATTCTCAAAAAGGACAGAATACGGAGAAATTCTTTTATTTTGTAGAATCATTACTCACATTCATTCATTGGTAAATTATCAAGCTCTGTCAAATCAGCCCAAAAGTCTCAGACAAAATGTAAATTCAAAAACCTACTACTTACTACATTTGCCCAATTTTCTTTAACAAGAAACCTCCTTGCTGCCTGCTGGTCACTGGATGTTGGTATAAGCAACATGCGGATACTGAATCTAGACCATTAAAATCAACAACCAAGAATAGACCATCACAATTCACAATGTGCCCAACTGTCCTAACCAGTACTCGCGACTTTTTTAATGCTATATTTCTAACTAGCAACTGTTTATATAAATATATATGTATGTGCATATATATATATACGTATATAGATGTTCAAAAAAAAAAAAAAAAACTAGCAACTGCAAAGATCACTTGACAAATACGTGCATATATGGTATTATCATCACATGCAAACTTCTTTAAAGTAACCTAGTAAACTGTAGTGCGTGGTATTAATTTAAGTTTTCACCTGTTTTTGTCCCCTCTCAACAATTTTTTTTTGAGTACGTACTGAAAAATTTTTATTTAATTCGCTGATTCAGGTTTTTAATTTGAGTTGAGATATGACTTTATGTGAAATTTTTACTGTAGCAAAAAAATTAAATGTGACTGTTTCTAAGAGTTTTATACTGTAATAAAACTCAAATCGTTGAAAGGAACAGAGCTATTCGTGTAGATCAAATCCAACAAAATGGAAATGAAAGCAAAATCTTGTTTGGCATATTGTCATGAAATGCCGTAGGGGAACTTTATGAACTAGGGCAGAATATTCTACTTTTGGTTCTGCCGTCCAGCTAAAGGCCAATTCATGCAGAAGCAGATAAGGTAGATATATAAATCCAAATATATTCATCAAGCAATATTTGTTTTTCATATATTTTTATTGATTTTTCTGGAAAAAAAAAGTTTTTTTTTCTTTTTTCTAAAATAAGGAGAGCAAGTTTTTGTTGATTATACGATATAAAAGAGAGCCGGCCGATCCTTTGATTGGTCTTATTTCTTAAGAGCAATATAAATTAAGTCAATAAAGGGGACCATGGAAAAGTGCCATATTGAACACAAAAACCTTAATTATATATATATATATATAT